AGGAAGGAAGGAAGGAAGGAAGGAAGGAAGGAAGGAAGGAAGGAAGGAAGGGAGAAAGCAGGATGTATTCAAGAAGAAATAGAGGACGTGAGTTAATAACCATTCAAAGAGCTATGTTGTCCCAAAATCCTTCATCTCACAAACCACGAAAGATAGTAGTCACAGAGTTTACAGGTGAATCTTAAAAAACTTTCAGGGTAAAGATAATTCTTGTGCAAAATATTTTCAATAACTAAGAAAAGAAGATTTACTCACTTTATGAGCTTATTATAAGATTGATTCAAAACTGGACAAGAATACTAACAAAATAAAATTTTAAATGAGTTTTGCTTATAATCATAAACACATTTGAAATAAAACACTAGCAAATAAAGTCTAGCAATCTGTGTGTATGTAATGTGTGCATCTCTCAGAGCCAAGCAGTTTATACCAGAACCATATGGCTGCTTGACTATCAGAAAAATTGTTGATGTAATTCAGCAATTCAAAAGAAGGGTGAAGAAAAACCACATTGTCCCCCCAAGAGATGCAGTAGCAGCTCTCAATAAAACTCAACGATTATTTCTGATTAAATTCTTTGCATTTTAAATGAACCAGTTGTCAATTTACTGCCTCTCAGCTTCAAATTCACCCTTCAATACCAGCTCTGCAATAAGGCACAGGGCCCTCTAAGCATCTTCTCCTTTACAGTGAGGGTGATGGTAAGCTTGCCACAAGATGGTGGAGGCAGGCCCTCAGGAGGACGGGGCCTCTCATTCTGGAGCAGTTTTGCATTCCTATGGTCATACAGGGTGGCTGGTCAGTTGTATACAGGTATGAGGACAACCATGGTGTTTCCTTTTAAAGGGTGAATTGCTTGAGTCCAGGAGTTTGAGACCAGTCCAGGCAACAAGGCGAAACTCCATCTCTACAAACAATTCAAAAAACTAGCCTGGTGTGGTGGCATGCACCTGTGGCCCCAGCTATTCAGGAGGCTGAGGCAGGAGCATCACCTGAGCCAGAGAAGTAGAAGCTGCCCTGAGCTGAGATCGGGCCACTGCACTCCAGCCCCAGCAACAAACAGAGCGAGACCCTGTCTCAAAAAAAAAAAAAAAAAAAAAGCATGTATCTGTAAGTACATATTTATCTGTAAGTGTGCCTTAAGCTTCTGTCATTAAACTGAGTGCTCCCAAGGGCTCCTGGTGTTCCTTCACTAGACAGACAGATTCCTGAGGAAATAACCTTCTCCCCTGAGATTCTCCCACGAACCCCTATCCAAGTTTTGGATCACAGAGCAAGCTCAGCATGAGACGTAAGTGACAGCTGGACGCTTAAGCATAAAATGTATGTGCTGGAAACGACTGCGCGGAAGGTAAGTCCTCACGCTGGGCCCCCAGAATCGGAGGCTCTTGCTACCCTGCGCTTGTAGGGGAACAAGATCCCGGAGGTGAGGGCAGCACTCACGTGGTGACGGTATTGAAGCCACAGGCCCTCAGCTTCAGCAGGCGGTCCCTCCAGTACGCCCTGGGCACCCGGAAATAGTGGATGGAGCCCCCGCAGATGAGGAACCTGTGGCCCTCCAGCGTGAAGTGCGGCTTTCCCCGACCTGTGCTTGCAGTTCCGAGTCCCACAGATCGATTCTTCAGCTCCAGAGGGGTCAGATGAGACCAGTTAAACCTGGAGGGGGCGGGCGAGGGAAAGAAAGCGGAAAGGGAGAGAGAACTCGGGAGAGGGCTCGAGGGACGGCTGAAACCCTAGCGAAAAACAGAAGTTCTTGTTGGTAGGACGTGTTCTGTGCACAATCGCGACATGATTCTCTCCAAGAAAGGTGAGGTCGCTCCCCTCCCGCCCCGGGAATGCGGCTCTCAGGCAAACCTGGGCTGGGGCGGATGCGCTGTTCCAAGCATGAGGCTCTCTTCGTGCTTAAACCGAGGAGCGAAAGCTGGTAAGATGAACGGCAGGAAGAAGACGCCCACCATTCTCCTCCAGGAGAGGCGCGGGCTGGAAGGAGAAAGGAGAACAGTGACAAGGGGAAGGTGCTGGCCCCACCAAGCGCCGGGGGCCGCGAAGCTGTGCCGGGGGCGCTTTAGGGGCCGGAGCCAGGGAGGGGGCCCGCGACACAGGCGGCTCTTCTGGGCGGGCCCAGGGCCAGGAGAGCGCAGCATGGAGGCCGGGGACAGACGTTCAGTCCTAGACCCTAGAGACGGGGCTGGGCACTGCGGGTGGGTGTCTGGGAGAGGTGGAGGCGGGCGCACTCCACCACCAGGTTCAGGAAGGACACGGTGTCCAGCCGCTGGAGCCCCCGGCCTGCGTCCCCAGCCCTGATTTCCTGGCATCTGGTGAACAGCCCCTCCGCAGGGTGGGGGTAGCAAGGGGATCTGCAGAGGAAAGCTGCGGAGAGCGGGCTTAATGACGCGGCTCGGCGCGGCGCACGCCTGGGGCGCCTGGCTGGCCACA